TTTAGGTCGAAATTTTGCTAATAACAAAATGGAAAATTTGCTATACAGTTGACATAATTTCCGTAGCTAATTCTATTAAATTAAAGATCACTGTTAATTTGTGGGAGAAAATTTATAATCTTTCATTGTCCTACATAAAAAATCTGAAGAATACTAGGATAGATCAGTAATTCATTGAAATGACCTCTATACTAGGATAGGATAAATCGAATGACCTCTCGATTTATTTAACACATATATATTAGTAGTTGTTAAACTTACATGCATCGATCCACATAACCCATTGTAATTTACTACTACTAGTTGTTACATATTATGTGTAGCAAACTGTTTTTTCTTGTTGCAAATCAACTTTTTTTATGGATTTGCTAAGTGCGAATTATCAACAGCAAATTTTACGTTCTAAAACAATTGTGACCATTTGGTGTGGAAACCAGTGACTATCAATTTTGGTTGTAATAATTTTGATTAGCATTATGTTCTCATAGGATACCAGTACCACCAAAGTGAACATGCACATATGACTAAAACAAAACAAAGCACATATGACAGCGACGTTGTCCAAGTCAGTTGTATACATGTAAAATGTGTAAGTTATACTAATACCATTTAGTAATTTAAGCTAATTAATTATTGAAAATGAATCAAGTTATGAGCTAATCACGAGTTACGTAAAGCATTACGCATGCCGAGATTCCGATAATGTCACAAACGATCCATTTCGGGTCAATAATATTTCTTTTCTACTTTTTTTTCTTTCTTTCCAACTTTCACCTTCCCTATAATGCAATTCCTTATTCACGAACGTAGCTTAATTTGCCCTAAACAAATGATCCACACGTTAATTTGTTTGCTTTACAACAAGGTGATGAGTCTACTTCGTTAAAACTTTTGTGTAGGCTAGTTAAATAACGAGTAAATAAAGCATGCACTTTCTTAAAGATATTTGCATGAACTTGCGAATCAAGTTTTCTATTGTGTATATATATGTGTCCTAAATCCCTTATTTATCAACTCATATCTCTCTAACTAGCTCTTATTAAAAAGTTCAGAAACAAAAAAACTTACTTTGTTAATTTTTTCTTTTTCTCTTTCTCAAGATGGATGACTTTTTCGAGCAGATAAACCCCAAGGCCATAACTGCGAGGATAAATGTGGATATAGCACGTACAGCTCACAGGGAAGCTATTAACTCGGGTTTGGAAGACGAAGTGTTCAAAGCCGTGACTAACATGATCATTTCACTGATGGATCAAACCATCGTTGCAGCAAATCATGTTGAAGAGCGCTTGGAATTTCTGCGGACTGTAGGTGATTCGTACCCCAATTTTTCTCGAGATCTTGGTGCGACCGACCTGATGGCTGATAATGCATTGGCGAATTCAGAACTTGCGATGGAACAAATGAAAAAAGCGGTTGCTGATGCAGAGGATTGGAAAAGAAGAGCGAGAAATGTAGCAGGAGGAAACAATTAATGCATGATCAAGACGCTAATTCATACTATATATATATCGTAATAAAATAAATGATGCACAAGTGTATTTAGTAAAATAGTGATATATTTTGATGCTTTAGCCAATGTGTTGAAGGACCTTATACTAAATCGATCTTTAAATAAACGTGTGACTATCAATTTGGGTTGTAATAGTTATAAGGATTATATATACAGTTTCATCTATTACTGAAAAGAAAGACCAAATATAATGACAATGGTAAAAAACTACGCAAGCATATGACTCAAATCAATAATTAAGCATTTGAGTTTTTTAACAAAATGGTAGCTTATAAACAATTTAAAAACCAGTTATTTTTTCTTGAGAATAGTTTAGCTAAGCTTAGTTAAAAAGAAACTCAAAACCATTAATACTTTGGTACGGTTTTATAGTTTGCTTTTCATAATGAAATGAAACTACTTCAATTAATATGTGACCATATTTTTCATATTTAGATGACTATGTTGTTTAATGGGATAAGTGTGGTTTTATTGTTTGAATCTCGAATTTTTTTGATCTCGTCTCATTTTATGAATTCAATCTTATTTTATTAAATCCGAAAGTCACTCTCAAAATCATATTGATCTAAATGAGATATTACCCAAGTAAGAGCGGTAACTTAAACTCCGAAACAAGGTTGAAAGCGGGGATATGTATTGGCACTAATCCATTTCACCAATCTTTAGAATCCATCCTATTATAAACCAAACAACTGGATCCACCCTATTAAAGTAGGGAATATATCTGTGCGTGGGTTGTTCGAATTTACGGAAATAATAATCCATCCTATTCATAAAGTAAGAATGTTTTATCTAAATAATTTTTTTTTATGTTAAAGATGAATTAATACTATATTTATAATTGGGTCATAGCATAGTGATACCGTGAGCATTTGGTAATAGACCCAAATTAAAGTCCAATTCCAAAAATCGCAAACCAAATTACACTAAACAAATAAAAAATTGTAGCTACTTTGCGATGAATTTGCAGCAAAATATTAG